TATCTTTGCCTTTAATTTTATTAATTTAATTGTTCTTTAGCTTCATTATGGTGTCTCCAGGGATAGAATGCTTTAATTTTATTGAACTTACCATTTTTAACCTCTGCATATGTTGTATTAATGCTTTTATCTATATGTTCTAGGATAAATATAGAACACTAAACACAAAGTTAGCAGTTCAACGACAGCAGATTCTAAAAGGAGGACATGTGATTATTTACTCCTATAAAGATTTACAGAGTCATAAACTCTGTCTTGTTGCTATGAGTTGGAATTAACTCAAGAGCAGTGGGTCTAGTTTAGTTTGGGTTCAATTCCTTCAAGTATTTATTTAGATTCTTTATCTCTCTTTCCTCTTTCCAGGAATGCTAATATGCATATGTTGATACCCATGACTTTTTTTCCCTACAGGACTTTGTAGCTTTGCTCATATTTCCTTATTCTTTTCTCTCTCTCTTCCTGCTAACCACCTCTCTTTTAAATGATCCTCAGTCAGAAAAATTTTAATTGACCTGGCTCCAACTTTCAAATTATCTGATGTGTCCTGCCAGGTGTTGAACCCCTTTATGCATCATTATTTATTTGCTGTTGCACCTTTCAAATTTTAGAATTTGTATTGTGTGTTTCTGTACACATGCATGCATGCATATGTACATGTACAAACATATGCACATATATTGTGTACATATTAACATGTAAAGAGCCCTAGTTGTATATTGGGTAAGCATTGGCCTGCTAATAGCAAGGCTGGTGGCTCAAAGCCACCATTGGTTTTCAGGAGAAAGATAAGTATACCCAAACATATGGAAGTTTATAGTCTAGGAATCCTATTTATGAGTCAGAACCAACTCTATGGCATTGTTATCTTTAAAATTTAATTCAAAAATACATGTATACTTATTATACATAAAATCACTGCCACCGATTCAATGCTAACTCATAGTGACCTACTAAGACTGACCTGTGAAGTTCCAACACTAAATCTTTATCATCTTTCTCCCAAGAAATGGCTAGAGGTTTTGATATGCTGATCTTGCAGTCAGCAGCCTAGTGCATAACCACCCTTGTTTCTACATATATTGGTTTGTTTGTTTTGTTTAGATCTTGTATCTCTCTTTCCTCATTCCAGGCATGCTAATATGCACATGTTGATACACATGGCTGTTTTTTTCCCCTACAGGACTCTGTGCTTTTGCTTATTTTTTCTATTAAGGACAGTTTCTATATATAGTTTTTATACCTATTGAAAATACT